CATCAATTTAAATGATTCTTCAGTTGGAATTAAAATTTATCGTCATACTAACTGATTCTTTGATTGAAAATAAGCGAATTGTAGTTAGAAATTTAGCCCGTACAAAAGTTTCGGCTGCACAAATCGACTTCAACTTGAAACCAAGTTCGCCTAAAATAAATTATTCATCAATTTAATTCATTCAACAGCAAAAAGGAAATTTTGACGAGTTCGATAAGCTAAACAAACAAGCTCTTTGCAAAAATAATTATGATCTCTCTGACCATAAAAGGCATTACAGGAAAATTATTGAAATAATCACAAAAACAGAATGTCTATCAAATGTGAGTCGGGGACTTACAGTTGAAGCAAATAAACAGACTTCGAACGACAAGTTATGTGAATTTGCACCTTCCGAAATCCCCGATGACCCCGAAAATATGTTTTCGGGATCCAGCATCACGGCTCAAATAAAAACGGAAATTATGCCGAATGAAACCTTAACTCACTTCTATGAAAAAAAGTACTAAAAGAAAATCAAATTTTTGAATAAGTATGCATCAACGAGAATTAATTGTGTTGTGGTCCAAGATGGCACTAATTCCAACCTGAAGTCAAAGTATGATGTTGTGAATGAGTTTGCAATGAAGCACCAGAAGCTGATTGATGATTTTACCTATAAGTTTACTCCTGAAATGATCGTAGTGTGCGACATACCTCCAATCTTTAATAACGAGATGCAAACTCTAAGTTTGACATTTTTACTCAAAAGATACATAAAAAGGTAAAGCAAGTTTTCAAATGCTCAAACTCAACGCTATGGTTGGAAATATCAGTAACTGGAGCTTTCTATGATGGTAACATTCATCTTAATGATGATCATGGTGTACCCATTTGCGCAATTGTCTTTGTGCAATTGTAGACCAATACGCAAAATATCTGCCACGATCAAAAACTGAAGGAAACTATAGAGGTCGAACCCAAAAGCTCCACTCATTGCAACCCACACGACTCTCGGGCCACTACTTATCGTCAAAACTTTAACGGGCAAAAAAATCACCATGTATTCATTTGCAGGGCCAGTATTGATAATAGTTACGATGATTTTATTATATAAGTCTGGCATTTAAATATCATTAAATTGAAAAAGTTGTTAATTTTAACTAGTATCTCTGTAATCATTTCATGTGAAACAGAACAACTAGCAACCTAACAAATGCTGAATAAAAAATCTAACAGTATTTTTTTCCATGGGTTGCCACAATTTTTTCTAATAAATATTTTCATGTACCTCTCAAGTGCACTGTTATTTATACACTAGTGCCTCTCAAGCGCTCTATCACTAAAAATTATTTAATTAAGTTTATATTTAAATATTAAGGTATTAATTTGAATCCAACAACAACTTAATTTTATAGCGCTTTTTCTCTATCAAAGCAAATCTCAAATTTTCAATCAGATGATAATCATCCAAATCCGGGTCCACCAACAAACTATAGCAGCATCAAAAAAATAAAAATGGTGAAATAAAAGAAAAAAACATCAAAGTCCTTCATTTAGACTGTAGGAGCTTAGCATGTAACAATCAGATCTGAAAACATTTCTAAAAACCATTGGCAAAAACAAAAACTTTCGGTTTGTCGGAAACTTGGTTCAATGAGTCGAACGACCAACTTCTGACTGTGGACTCTTGATAGTACAAAACACGGTGCTTTTCTATGCAAAAGATCTGTGGGAACCAGCAAAAAATCAAAAGGTTGTGGGGTTAAGCTCCTAATACCTAAAATAATCATCCCAAAACCAGGGAAAGGTTGAAACACTCTTCAGAAAATATACGTTAGCATCTGGATTGGAAAAAACTTTTTAAAAAATTGAGGGAAAAAGTCTTGATTTTATCAGATTGTCCGTGCAAAGCAAATGAACTTGAAGTTCCTGATGAACTAGCTAAATCAATTGACTATGTGCAATGCTCAATTTCAATATAACCTTAATGGGTGATTAGGATTTGAAAAATTTTAATGCAGACGAGAAAGAGTCTCTTGATACAGATCTTGTTCCATACAAACTCAACGTTACTAAAAAACAGTACCCACTCATTCGAAAAAACCTAACTGACTAATTTCATAACTGATCTATCCTTGGAAGATCAATCAAACAAAACAATGGTATTCACGCCATCCTCAAAATTTACTATTTAGCCCTAATTTTTATAACTGATAAAAAGCTTCTTGCTGAAAATACACCAATCTAATGCAAATTCTAAATTAAAAAAAATTACTCAAAAGAACAAGAAAAATCAAACCTTTCTAGAATCAATTGGGAAAAATTTCAGAGGCAAAATGATCCTGAGTCGACGTTCATCATTTTCACCAAAAACCGTGTACTAAGTTTTAAATAAAAATGCTCCTCAAAATTGAATCTTCATCCGTAATGATAAACCAAGAGTGAAAATCCAGGTTGAACAAATATTATCGCAACTTTTCATTTATTGAGCTAAAAAAACTGAGCGCGAAAAATTGAAAAATTAAATTGATACTAAAAATTTTTAAAAAAATCAGCAAACCATTTTTCTCTCTAAAATTTTCCTTCGGTGGAATAGTTACAAACAGTTTTAAAACGACAAATCTGCTTACCTACGGAATTTAAAATTTAGGCTGCTTTTACGACAAAGTTACGGCAACCCAGCCCTCTTTGCTCAAATATGACGTGAACTTACATACAAAAAGTGAGATTCAGACTTTTTACCACTGGTGACTGCAAATTAGGTTTTTTGAAAAACTCAGTTCTAAAAAGCCATCGAGTCCTCTGACATTCCAGCATGGGCACTAAAATACGGTTGCAATGAGTTATACGCACAATTTACTTTCCTTTCCAATGAACATTCAAAGAAATATGTATCTACCGATAAGCATATAAAAGCCATTGTCACACAATATACACGAAAAACAATTCTTTCAATAAAAGGTACTACATATTTAAAATTATTCGAGAGTTTTTTATACAAACGAATAAATGAATATTTTTTTTTGCAAAACCTGCGAAGCAACACTCAATTCGATCTCAGAAATCCTTTTAAACGATAGGTGCAATCTTTTTCTTTCCCCAAGTGTGTTCAAAGTAACAACACTTTGGGAAAAATAAAACAAAAAGAACCCGGAGTGTGTTTTTGAAAGATTCCAAATCGAAGTATCCATCCCCAAAAAGCAAAAAAAAAAATTCCTTGCAAAGAAACAATGAAAAATGAGAAAA